ACTTTATAAACACAGTCTTGGAGTGACATGGTGCAATCAAATATTCCACAATAGTGTATAACTCATATCAGATCCCATACAGGTTCTACAGGTGCAATCAAATACTCCACAATAGTATATAACTCATATCAGATCCCATACGGGTCTACCAGGCTCTCTAGCGCCAGATAATGTTTTTTTTTTTAAAAAAAAAATTGATCAGCTATTGGTAAGAAATGTTCTAGAAGCTTCAGAATTTCATAGGAAAAACCATGTTCATAGAAAAGGTTTGAAGAAAGAGTTTCCTGTCGCTTGGCAACAAGACAAGTAAATTAAAAGGGAATGTCCTACATGTTCCTTGTATAACCAAACTTCATTACCTGCAGAAATCAACCCAAAAGGTACCCAAAGAAATAAAATTTGGCAAATGGATGTGTTTCATTTTGTAGAGTTTAGAAATTTAAAGTCTTCACCATACCATAGATACATATTCAGGGTTTCAAAGGCCAACTGCTTTGAGTTATGAAAAGGCTGATTCTGTAATTACACATTTATTAAAAGTTGTTTCCATAACGGGAATACCTCTCCCAATTAAGACTGATAATACTCTAGCATATGTCTCTAGTAAGGTCAAAGTTTTGGGCATATTGTATGTTTACTACACCTCTACTTCCTGCCTAGCTACTGGCCAATCAGCATTTTATTAAAAATAACACAAATGACAGGATAAAAGACTATTGTCCCTCAGCAGAAATTGGTCTTTCTTTGTTGGATCCTTGTGTGGTTTAGGTACCTGGGCAATTGTGACCTCATTAAAAGAATTAGGCAATGTTCCTCCAGTTTTGATTTTGCAGAATAATTTGAGGAGTATTGAAATTAATTCTCCTTTGAAGGTATGGAAGAATTCTGTACCAAATCCATCTGGCCATGGACTTTTTTTTGGTTTTGTTTTTTGTTTGTTTGTTTGTTTAGGTTGTGTGTGTGTGTGTGTGTGTGTGTGTGTGTGTGTGTGTGTGTTGGTTGGTAAGCTTTTAATTACTGCTTTTATTTCAATAGGAGGTTATAGGTTTGTTTAAGTTGTTTTTTTCATTCTCATTTAATTTTGGTAGGTTGTATTTATCACAAAATTCATCCATAGTTTTTACATTTTCCAGTTTAGTAGAATACAGATTTTCAAGTATGTCCTATGATTCTCTGAATTTCCTTGGTTTTCATTGTAATGTTTCCCCTATAATCTGTAATTTTATTAATCTGAATCTTCTTTCTATATTTTTTGATTAATTTGGTTTAAGATTTACCATCCTTGTTGATTTTTTTTCCAAAGAATCAGCTCTCCATTGCATTAATTCTTTGTATTGTTCTTTGTTTCTATTTCATTGATTTCAGCTTCACGGTTGATTATTTTTTCCCATCTCTTCTCCTTGGCCATTGTTTCTCCTTGTTTTTTATAGGGCTTCTGAGTGTGTTATTAGGTTATTAATATAATGTTTCTCCAGAGTTTTTTAATGCAGCATGTAGCACTCTGAACTTGCCTCTTAGAACTACTTCCACTGTGCCCCACAGGTTAGGGTATGGTGCATTTTTATTTCCATTCAGTTCTTAAAAGATTAAATTTCCTTCTTGAGCTAATTTCCACTCAGTAGTGAATTGTTCAGCTTCCAAGGGTTTGTATATTTTCTGCTGATGTGCATATCCAGCTTTAATCCATGATGGTCAGATAGGATAGATCCATGATGCAGAATGTTATTTCAATTTTCTTTTATCGGTTGAGATTTGTTTCGTGTCCTAATAAGTGACCAAATTTGGAGAAAGTCCCATGAGTTGCTGAGAATAAAGTATATTCTGTAGTGTTTGTGCAGAATGTTCTAGACATGTCTGCTGGATCCGTTTGAGTTATGACATTACTTGATTCCAGCATTTCTCTGTTTAGTTTGTCTGGGTGGCCTATCTCTTGGCAAGAGTGGGGTGTTCAAGCCATCCACTATGAACTGTGTATGGTGGCTTGGATGATGGCTCCCCAGGCTCCTTTGGTTGAATGCTTGGGTCCCCAGTTGGTAAAACTGTTTGGGAGGGATTAAGAGGTGTAGTCTTATTGAAGACGATGTGTTCCTGGGGGTGATATTTAAGGATTCAAAAGTCCACACCGTTTTCAGTTAATATGCTCGCTCTTGCTCTCTCTTTCTCTCTCTCTCTCCCTCTCTCTCTCTCTCCAGATATAAGCTCTCAGCTAATACTTCAGTGCCTACCCGTTGCCATACTCCCTGCCCTAATGGTCATGAACTTACCCTCTGAAACTATAAATCTTCCATTAAATGTTTTCTTCTATTGCCTTGGCCTTGGTGTCTCTTCACAGCAACAGAAAAGTAACTGTTTTTACTTTACTATCTCTCCTGATTAGTTTTGGTCTAAAGTCTATTTTGTCATATATCAAAGTATCTATACCTACTTGCTTCTTAAGTCCATTTGCTTGGAATATCTTTTTATATACTTGTTTCCCAGAGGTGATGCCTGTCCTTGGTGATGAAGTGTTTCTTGGATGCTACAGAAAGAAAGATCTTGTTTTCTAATCCAGTCTCTTAGTCTGTATCATTTTTACTGGGAAGCTGATAACATTGGTGTTATTAGTGAGCAGTGTTGCTTGGTTCTCATTACTTTGCTGTGCTGTGGAGCTTCTCCTCCTTTGGTGTTCTGGGATTATTTATTCATTGCATCCTCCTGAGTGAGGTTAACCTTCTTTTTAAGACTGAAGTTTTCCTTCTAGTACTTTCTGCAGAGCGAATTGGTAGACAGAACTTGCTTAGATTTCTTATTGTGAAATGTTTTTCTTTCTCCATCAATTGCAGTTGGTGGTTTTGCTGGATATAGTGGTCTAGGCTAGCAACTGCAGTCTTTCAAAGTCAGTAGAACATCCATCCTAGGCCTTTTGTCTTTCAGAGTCTCCCTTGAAATGTCAGGCATTGTTCTAATGTGACTAATGTGACTAGTTCTTTTTCCCTTGCAACATTTTTGTTTGTTGGTTTTGTTTTGTTTTCAAGACAGGGTTTCTCTGTGTAACCTTGACTGTCCTGGAACTCACTCTGTAGGCCAAACTGGCCTTGAACTCAGCAATCTACCTGCCTCTGCCTGCCATGTGTTGGGATTAAAGGCATGTGCCATCACTGCCTGATCCCCTTGCAGCTTTCAATATTCTTTCTTTGTTCTATACATTTAGTGTTTTAGTAATTATATGTTCTAGGGTGTGGTGATTTGAATGTACTTGTCTCCTGTAAGATGACAGGGAATGGCACTGTTGGGAGGTGTGGCCTTGTTAAAGGAAGTGTGTCACTGTGGGGGCGGGCTTTGTGGTCTCTTTTGCTCAAGCTTCCCTCAGTGTGACTCTGAGACCACTTCTTATTGCCTGCAGGGTGTAGAACTCTGAGCTACCTTTCCCCCACCGAGTCTGCGTACACACCACCATGTTCCCCACCATGATGATAATGGACTGAACCTCTGAATTGTAAGTGAACCACCACAATTACATGTTTTTCTTTATAAGAGTTGCCATGGTCATGGTGTCTCTTCACAGCAATAGAAACAAACCCTAACTATGACATAGAGGGGTTCTTTTCTTGTCCTGTCATTTGGTTTTCTGTATGCCTTTCTCATTGGTATATGAGTGAAAGAACGGAGGAAGAGTTCAGGATAGTGTAGGATGGGTTTTCAATACTGAAGTGTATTGTTTACATAGTCTAAAAGCTTGGTATGGTCATTTGAATAAAAGGGATCCTTTAAGTTCATAAATTTGAATGCTTAGGGAGTGGCAGTATTTGTTGGAATAGGTTTGGCCTTGTTGAAGGAAGTGTGTCCCTGGAGCTGGGCTTTGAGGTTTCAAGGGCCCAAACCAGGTCTAGTGTTCTCTCTTCCCGCTGCCTTTGGATGTAGATGTGGAACTCTCAGCTCCTTCTCCAACACCATGTCAGCCTGCATGCTGCCATGCTTGCTACCAAGTTATTAATGGTCTAAACCCCTGAAACTGTGAGCAAGCCCCAATTAAATGATTTACAAGATTTGTCCTTGTCATGGTGTCTCTAGAACACTGACTAAAACACACAGTGTTCCATGGTGCTACGATTGGAGAGGACAGATTTGTAAGTCTCAACCATATCTGTTGAAAGCTGAGGGGTGAGATCAATGAAGAACACGTGCCAGTGTAGACTTCTTGACACAATCAACGGAGACATTCTGCCAGAGGGAGGTGTGCCCACAGTCATTTCTTCCACCACCACTCCTGAAAACCAAGATGCCTGGGAGACTTGTGCACTGTCAGCCAGTATGGGAGGATAAGAGATAATAATTCCGGGATGTGCTTTTTAATTTAACACTATTATGATTCTGTTAAACCACAAACCATGTCTAACTGATGCCAGCGTGAAGACTTGATATAAGAGACCCATCATGATTGTCCCACAGCCTAGCATCAGCACAGAAGTCCATCAGCACATTGAGCAGCCTCTTACACATATTGGCTGGCACTGAAGAACACTTTCAGTTGACCACTCCGTTAGGCATACCTCCCATCTAAACACATATCTGTATAGAGCATTTACCAGCTTTCTAATATGGTCCAAGTCAAGGTTCCTATGATGGTATCATGCTGATCAGCATAGTTACTGACAGCCCCTTCCTTGCTTATGATGAGCTGCTGAGAGTGGACGAGTTGATGATAGGGACCGGTGAGAACTTCATCTGTTAAAGAGAAGCCAGACACCCATCACTAACAAGTTGTATGTGCCTGTTCAGCTGGACCTGAAGGACACACTCAGCGTGTGATAGTGAAGAAGACTGCAGGCCAGAGTGTCTCAACTCACCAGTGACTGTCGGCTCCACACCTATGAACACCTCTGCCTGCCAGAGTCTAGCTCTCTGAAGGTGTGGAAGGAGTTGACTCCTCCTTCCTTGGCTGTGCCACTTAGTATCTTGCTATCAGGCAAGATGCCATGTTCCAGGTAGCAGAGCTCCCAGAAAGTATTACTATCCTCTGCAAAGCTCTCTAAGATCCCTAGGGACAACTCCTGAGGTAGCAGCAGGCTGTGTACACCACTAAGGGGTCTGCTGTCTTCAGCCACTGCATACCAGGCCCCACGAGCAAGGGAATCTGGTTTCTTAACTGAGTGAAGAATACATGAGTTTTTTTTTATGAGTGTTATGGTTTGAAAGAAAATGGCCCCCACTGGAAATGACAGTATTAGGAGGTGTGGCCTTGAAGGAGTGGGTATGGTCTTGTTGGAGGAAATGTGTTACTGTGGGGGTGGACTTTGAGGTCTTTTTTTCTCAAGCTTCACTTGGTGTGACAGTCAGTCAACTTCCTATTGCCTTCTGGCCAAGATGTAGCACTCTAAGTTCCTGTACCACACCTGCCTCCATGCTGCCATGCTCCTGTCATGATGATAACATGCTGTAAGTGAGCCACTCCAATTAAATGTTTTCTTTAGGAGTTGCTGTGGTCATGGTGTCTCTTCACAGTAATAAAAACCCTGAGTCAGAAGCTGGTACCAGGGACTGGGGTATTGCTGTGATAGGCCTGACCATGCTTTTGTTTGGATAAGTTTGGACGTTGGTACTTTGGGTTAGGAAGGCAGTGGAATGCTTTCATCACTACTCAATGGGGTGTACTAGTAGGAGCATGGAAGACAGTGGTGCTGCTGCTGATGATTTGAAATGTCGGAACCTGGCTCAAGAGGTTTCAGAGAAGAATTTTAGCATGTTGCCTGGAAATCATCCTTATAATATTTTAATAAAGAGAGTGGCTGCTTCACCCTTGTCCAGATGTTGCAGCCCAGGAGGCCAGCTCCCAGGACTGCACCCAGGGTAGTGAAAGGGCTATCTTCTTAGAGCAGCAAGGAACTTAGAAGATATTTCTTCTCTATACTGGAAGCCTTTTGGAGAGCCTGCTCCAAGACCGCCTCCTCCTTCAGGGTATGCTGAAAAGATTCCATGAATGTGGCAAGGGTCAAGACTTTTCTATCTGAGGGGAAATAAGGACAAACATACTTTCTGATGGTAACTTAAGGAAAAATTGACAGCACATGCTTTCCTGGTGGTCACCTTCTCTTTTCATCTTATATAATCTCTTTCTTGTCAATCTCTCTACACAGTTACAGCTCTTTGCATACAGTTACATATATCTCTTTCCTGCACACCCACACATCTCTATACACAGTTACATCTATTTTCACACAGTTACACCTTTCTCCCCAGCGACATCTCTCTTCTACACACACACACATCTCAATACACAGTACAGATCTCCACACCTCTTCTTCTCTACATGTCCACAGCTCTCTCCACATAGCCATAGACTTCTTCCTTCACAGACATCTCAGCTACACACACATTGCTCTTCTGTAGAGATGCACCTCCTGTATCACACACATCTCAGCTACACACGCATTGCTCTTCTGTAGAGATGCACCTCCTATATCACACACATTTCTGCTACACACACACCATTCTTTTGTAGAGATGCACCTCCTATATCACACACATCTCTGCTACACACACACCATTCTTTTGTAGAGATACATCTCCTGTACACACATCTCTGCTACACACACATCGCTCTTCTGTAGAGATGCACCTCCTGTATCACACACATCTCTGCTACACACACATCGCTCTTCTGTAGAGATGCACCTCCTGTATCACACACATCTCAGCTACACACACATTGCTCTTCTGTAGAGATGCACCTCCTGTACACACATCTCTGCTACACACACATGGCTCTTCTGTAGAGATACATCTCCTGTATCTCTCGACTTGCTCAGCTCTAGCTCTCCACACTTCTCACATCTCATGCTTCTCTCCCCATCACACATCTCCTCTCAGAGCAAAAGCCTCTGGACCACTATAAATCACATCTTCAGGGTCACAAAGTACTTCCTGAATAAGCAATAAGGAACAGAGTCACACTGATCACACAGTTTCTCTCAGGCTAAGGGAGATCACACGGACCAACCAGTGGATAGAGTAAGTAAGCATGTACCTCTGAGTGGTTAAGGTTCCCAGACAGAAAGTGATATTGAAATTCAGAACTTAAACAGTGAAAAGATAGTTGACTGAACCTTGAGGTTGGAAGTATGTCCAGAAAGTCCTTTGCTGAGAAAGTTGTGTCTACTAAAATTGCTTCATGTTCTGAGCTTGAATCAGCAATAAATACCTGAGAAATTGACCTCATGTATTTGTCTCTAGGGGCACCCAGATATTCATCTCCAGGGGCAACCAGTTTGCTTTGAATTTTTTCTGAAGTCTAAAATTAGCTGTCATAGTGACTTGGAATATTATTACTTTCTTAGTCTGAGTAATGAAAAGTATCTAGTGTTATCTCTTTTCATCAGAATTATACAGTTAAGAAGAAATTATTTTCCTGACCATCCACAGCTATATGTGTGCCCAATAGACGGAATATATACATGAGATAAACATGTAAGCATTGGGGAGAATATTCATAGCTAGAACGTGTGAGAAACTACAGACAGAAACAACCAGTCATTCACAGTCAGTAACCCCCACAGTCTTTTCCGAGCAGAACTTCCCCATCAAGGAATTATTCTGGTGGAATTATTATTATCTGGTGGGTCGACATATAGAATATTAGTTGTAAGCTGCTGTATACTCTCATACCCTCTGGCATCCAAAGGGTCTGTTTGAGGCAAAAGTGAAGAGTTTTAGATAAATTCCATTGTCAGAAGAAATTTCAAAACAGACTAGTACAGGGTCTATTGTATGGCTATTAGAGCTAACTCTTATGAAGATTTATAATGAAGTATGTGGTCTGCTTTTTATTTTAATTTTACGGGGTTTCAGAAGAGGCTTTGTACTTTGAAATAAGTTTGAGACTGTTATAGACTATGGGGACTTTTGAAGCTGGACTGAATGCATTTTGCATTATGATACAACCATAAGTCTTTGGGGGGTCAGGAAGTAGAAAGTGGTGGTTTGAAAGAAAATTGCCCCCAAAGAAAGTAGCACTATCAGGAGATGTGGCCTTGCTGGAGTAGGTGTGGCCTTGTTGGAGGAAGTGTGTCACTGTGGAGGTGGACTTTGAGGTCTCTTTTCTCAAGCTTCACTCTGTGTGACAGTCAGTTGATTTCCCGCTGCCTTCTGGACAAGGTGTAGTCACCACCACATCTGCCTGAATACTATCATGCTCCCCGTAATGATAAGGAACTGAACCTCTTAAACTGTAATCCACCACCTCGATTAAATGTTTTATTTGTAAGAATTGCCATGGTTATGGTGTCTTTTCACGGCAATTAAAAAAAAAACCTAAGACGGTGAGTGACAATAATTACCTTAAAATCATCTTTTTATCATAGATTTAACTTCATTGTTAAATTTTCCAGTTCAAAATATGTTCATCACTTTTTATCAGTACCCACACACCCTCTTTTCTTTTCTTTTCTTTTCTTTTCTTTTCTTTTCTTTTCTTTTCTTTTCTTTTCTTTGAGACAGGGTTGAGATCTTTGTGTAATCCTGGCTGTCCTGGAACTCACTTTGTAGACCAGGCTGGCATCAGCAATCTACCCCTATGATTCACAGCTTTTGTAGAACCTGAAAGTGCCTGGTGTTGCTGTCCATTTAAGATCTCTCCCTTTATAGAAACACCATGCTAGTTTGAATGTAAGTTGGTCTCGGTCACAGTTCTCCAGTTTTCCGTTATGGTTATACAAAGTACCTGAGATAATCAACTTAAGAAGACAGAGGTTTGTATTCACTCGTGGTTAAGAGATTTCACAGCTGATTGGTTGTGGGATCTCTGCAACATTCACAGCAGATCGACAGTTGAGGGAAGGAAGAAGGCAGCTCTGACGGCTCTGCAGACAGTGTGGATTCAAACTTCAGGAATCAGGCCCTGAGTGGTCTGTTTTCGGCCTATTTAAGTTCAGCACAATGGGTTGAAAACAATTTCTTGGGATGATTATCTCCATCCCCTGTGCACAGCAAAACATACCTAAATCTCTTTGTTACTAAATCTTTTAGTAACAAAGTAAACTAAATACAGATACATTGAAACTCTCTGGAAAGTGTATGTGACATCTTTCTTAAAGATGGGTGCTGTGGTCTGCAGAATTATGCAATAAGATTTCAGATGACAATTTAGAAGGCCAACCCACCAGAAATATGCATTCTGATGGAGACAAGTCCAGATGCAAGGCGTTGGGAATACTGCCTTTTGAACAGTGGCTGTTCTTGCTGTAGATCCCGTGTGAAATCATAGCACTACCCCCTCTACAGTGGGACTCACCCCAAAAGCTTTAGCAGTGTACTAATCAATTATTGGGCACAATTTTCCCATGTACGGGTATATTGGGTGACTCTTTCCACACTGTGTGACCCCGGTGTGAGAGTAAGCCACACAGGCAAACCCTTTGTTTCCATAGTCAAATCCCTGCTCCATTCTCTGATGTAAACTTAGAAGTCAGCTCCCCGCAGTTACCTCTTATGATAGAACATTTGGCCCGAAGAATCTTGCTGAAAGATCACAATTGGGACCTTCACAGAGAGGCCCAAGGATGAAATTACTGCATGTCTGGGTTTGTTGATTCATAGCCCTCACAGATAAGGGGGACTGGGTTCCCTGGATTCGCCCTCAGCCGATATAGGGAAGTGCAACCCAGCTAACCCTGCTCTAACCTTAAGAGGCTATTAATACTCTGTACTTACTTTCACCCAATTTTATGGATACAAGTCTAAGAGATTAACTGTTTGGGTCTTAACTCTGAGAGATAACAGGAAAAGGCTACTAGATCATCTGACAAGCTCTGGAGAAAGGTATTCCTTTTCACGCAGATGCCATGGGACTAAACACCTCAGTTTGGCCTGGGTGGCTGGAAATTGTCAGGCTTAGATTTTATACTATATAACTAAAGGCTTCCCCTTTGTTCTAACCACTTAGGGTAAGAGATGTAGTTCTTAAATCTGAGAAGTCCCCTTTAGCTAGCTAACATTTGGTGAAAATGCTATTGTGGAACAAACACCACACGTTTTCCCCTACAATTTACACTGGTTACCATGGCAACCCTGATGCTGTTCTCAGAGCTACAGTTCCAGAGAGAGCCAGGAGTGAGACAGCATTGCTGCATTTCCCCCCTTTTCATTTATCAATTACAAACTTCTAGCTTAATTAGTCACATGTAGGAATGTAGGATAGCACACAAACTCCCCTTTTCCCTTCTTAGAATTTAAAACTCCTTAGTTGACCTATTTGCCTCTTAGAGTTGCCAGGGCATTTTACAAACCATGCCTCCCTTGAGCCATAAAATCAGCTGACAGTGATTGCTTTGTGCAGCTCTTATCTATTTTATGACCCTGAGAAAGCCAAGCCTTGTAACCTTGCTATTGCCAGAGAATTGCTGATCGTGTGTGTATATATAAGCTGGAAACTTTGCAGAACGGCAGCAGAAGAGAGAATAAAGAGAACCGTTCGAAAAAGCACATGTGAGATCATGGGCCCTCAGATACCCTATGTTCTTACACTTGCTGTTGCATCCATTCTGAACCCTGAAGAATCTTGGGACTGGACCCCAAAGGCTCTTGTCAGACAGGTTCCTCGCATTGGTTGGAAAAGGGTCTGGTGCCAGAAGTCTCCAGCCACACAGACTGCAAAGGCTACCAGGCTGGAAAGTACGTCCACTCCAGCCTTCTGAGCAGAAAAGGATTTTGCATTCCTTCGTTTGAAGTAAAACTCTGCATGCTTAACATCTCAGGCTCCCCTAGTGTTTGTCTGTGAGCACAAAGACTCCAGGCCCACTACAATTGGTCCTGTTGCTTTGGGGCCTGTGGCAAGACAGTACAGCGAGCATGGGATTGCCAGTGGAAGCACTTGTTCCCCTTATGGCGCAGGAAAGTGAAAAAAAGGAGAATCCAGGTCTCAGTAAGGTGAGCAAGCATAATAGCAAAGCAACCTGGCACTCTGCTTGGTTCGGTATCTTATGTGCTCCTCTTCTAACAACGCACTTGAAAACCTAAGACCCTCACCCATACACACACTCTTCTCTGAACAACGCATCCAGAACCCCCACCTGCATCACGCTGCACTTACCCACTTAAAACAAGTAGGATAAACAACAGGTAAGTTTCTCCTCCCTCTACCAACCATTGGTTTCTATTCAAGTGTATTCCCAATACATTCATCTAAGAGGGTAGTGTCAGGGACCAGCTTCAACAAATACCTCTTGCCAGGGTAGAGGTGTGGGGATTTAGAGATATAGTAAAGAATACAAAGACGTGAATGAAAATAATAAAACGGAGAAACATATAGAATAGAAACATAGAAGGGAGTTCCAGTGAGTACTGAAATTTCGCCTGCATTTAATTTCCAGTTGCTTAAAATACCCCTGAGGGTTTATCTAGCCTGAACTGGTCTTGGGTCTTGGGTGCTTTGCAATAGGGCAAACTGCGTCCTCCAAGTGAGGTTTTAGGGGGAATCATCTATTTACCATCTCATGCCTATGCATAGTTAGATATGCTATTGTGGAATATTATTTTAACTATGTAAAGATGTATTACATTTGTTTGTACTTCAGAATATTAGTTTAACTGTATAGAGGTGTGTTACATTTGTTTGTGCCGCTTTTGTTTAATGATGTAAGGATACGTATTTATGTAAAGATGTGCTGCATTTGTTTCACCTTGCCTGCCTAAGACACATGAGTGGTAAGAGCTGAATAGTCCATAGCTAGGCAGAGAAAGGATGGGCAGGACTGGCAGGCACAGAAAATATAAATAGGAGGAGAAATCAAGGTTTGAGAGACAAAGAGAGGCTGAGGGAAATGCCCCCAGGCCAGAAGCTAGGCAGTCAGTTGCCAATCAGCCAGAAACAAAAAGCAGGCAAGTAAGATTTAAAGAAGAAAGGTTAAAATGTAGATAAAGAGAAACAAATTAATTTAAGTTAAAAAGAGCTAGTCAGAAATGAGCCTAAGGTAGGTCAAGCATTCATAAAAAGTCTCTGTGTCATGATTTGGGAGCTAGTTGGAGGCCCAGAAGAAAGAGTCTGGTACAATGTGCATATGACAAAATTAGATGCATAATGGGAAGGAACATAAACATTGATCATGTTACTTACATTGTCCTTATTACGAGTCTGCAGTCCAAATAGAGAACTACCCAAACTACCCCTAGTCACTGAAGTCCTGTCTCTGAATCCTGTAGGAGGCCACCACAGCGAGTGTCCTCACTCAGACGGCAGGCTGTCAGTCTCAACAGGGCATCTGACCTCAACTGTCACCCTGTTTTGAATCAAGTCCCCTTGCTGCTTTTGAAACTCTGTGTGCCCTTACATCAACCCTTTGAATAAGAGGCCAAGAACCTGGACACCGGCAGCCCAGACCTGACCGCTGCTAAGGTGTTTTGCACATCAGTCAGGAGGCAAGAAAACATTCTTTCCTGTCTTACTAAGAAATACCCTCACTGTGGTCTAGTCCTTTTTCATGCCAATGTCCGTGGTGACAGTTGGCCCAACTAGTCAGCTTTGTCAGGGCTGTCAGTCCGTTTAACTGAACCATGTCATTTCATTGTTTTTATCTTTATGTGTTGTGTAATGAGAAGGAACTTCATGACAATCATTAATGCCCTAAAAATAACCTATGTGCTGTTCTTGACATTTGCCTAATTTTTCTCAGTGTGTGTGTGTGTGTGTGTGTGTGTGTGTGTGCGTGCGTGCGTGCGTGTGTGTGTGTGTATGTGTAAATATAAACACTTGGGGACGATTTTTTTTTCAAGAATTACTATGTGTGTTTGAGTGCCAGTCTGTGCATGATATGGCACACACATAAAGGCCGGAAAACACTTTCAGGAGCCAATCACCTCCTTCCATTGTGGTATCCAGGAGTCAAACATGGGTTGTTAGAATTACACAGCAAACACTTTTCACCCTCTGAGTTGTCTTGACAAGAGCATTATCCCACAACATCCAGGGATGATTTAAAAAAAATTTTTTTTTACATTTGTATGTGTGTATGTGTATGTATGTCACAGCATGCATGTCGAGGTCAGAGGGCAATTTACAGGAATTTGTTTTCTTCAACCACAAGCCTGAGAGTGCTCATAAGGAGGCCAGAGGCTGATCGATTGATCGATCGATCTATCTATATCTATCTATCTATCTATCTATCTATCTATCTATCTATCTATCTATCTAT